GTATACTTTTCACTCATGCCTTAGTTTTGTACTCTGCATTTTAGACAATAGCTTAAACGTTGCACGCAATACCTGAAATCCACACCTGGTTTCCAGTTTGTACAAGGACTTACTTTGACTGCTGACTGATCCTGAGTGCACTAATACACTTGTTTAGAGTCAGGAGAGACGTATTGATATTTCCACTCTCTTTCAGCCTATCACCTTCGTTGTGTGTCTTGGTATACCTTTCTGAACCAGCAAGATCACACAGGGAGAACCTGAAGGCAGATAAGGAAAATGAAGTTTTCTTGCCTCGGAACGTGCCCTGATTATTTTCATTTCTAACACAACCACTCCTCCCAACGGAAGAATTTCTTGAACCCTCCCATGCTTTTTAATGTTGCTTTCCTAGCAAAGCTGCACGCTACTTCCTGCCAAACGCTTCTTCAACAAAGCTTCCATTTTTCTGCCATGTGCTTCTTTCTGAGGACTTAACGTTAGTTCAGAAGTCAAGTGGAGCAGGATAGAGGAACACTGTGCTGAACAGAGGGCACAAGATGCAGAACAGCACTGCAACTGGATGGTTTAGTACCGTACGACGATAGGAAATGGGGAACCACCACTCATACACGAAGCTCCATCAGGGAACACTGAGTACGTAGCCTAGCATCAATACACCAACACTGAAAACAACTGACAATTTCACCCCAAAAGAAGAAGGGACCTTTGCTCTGAACTTACTCATTGACTCGTGTCACTCGTGGCATTTCAAGGTCTTCAATTTGTAGTAACTTGATGGTAAATATACTGTGGCTAAAAGGAGAAATTTAAAACCAGTAAGGAGAAATGAAGCAAGATCAATAGTCAGAAATACATATATATTTTTACAAATCTACAACATCTAGTCAAAACGCTGCTGGATCTACTTGAGATTCAATTAACTTCATAATTCTACTGGATGCAGTAAGCCTTTTAAAGAGACTTTTTTCTCAGCTTGTTTTGCTTTTCTTCCCTCTCCCAAACCACCAGTACTTAGACAGAAGAAGGCTTAGTTATTCTGCTGAGAGTTTTTGATGAAACAATTGGCTTTTGTACACGCTTATCTGCTTGAAGGACTAATCCATCTTGCTTCAAGCACTACAATCACATGCAGTTACAGGATATCTAATGGAACACTCGATATCAAGCCTTTTTAAAGCCTTCTGCCCTACAAAAGCCACAGGCAGTATTTTCATTTATCCCTCTTCCCCACACCATCTTATACCCAAGCTCAGACAAAGTCTCCCACCTTCGGCTGGAGCAAGCATTCAGCTTTGTGCTTGCAAAACTCCGGTGTTTCTGTCCCAGTTTAAAAAGTCTAAAAGCTTCTTCACAATCAGAGACCTGAACCCACTGCAGACCTTTCAAAAGAAGGAAAAGTGACTTTGGGAGCTTCATTAGCAAAAGGAAAAGTGAACAAGAAATGAGGTATACAAACAAAGAATAATACATTTAGGCAACACAAGAAAATATTGTATTAAGTCTGCTTCAGACACACGATAAGCTGACAAGAGATAAGACTAAGATTCTTCCTCCCATGGAAAAGGACAAGATACAGTATGCCTCTGCATTCAAGCAGACATTTCTAGAGCTAAACTGAACACATTTAAGAGTTTTCTATCTCAGAAGAAACATTATTACAGAAATAGCACTCTTCCATGACAAGCTTGGTGATTTGCAAAGCACTCCAGTTACCTTTCACGTAAGAATATCCCTTGATGTCTGGAGCAAGGCGAAGTGTCTTCTTTTTCTTGTCATCCGACATAGGAGCCAGTAAATCATAAAAACATTCATTGTAAATCTCAAGAAATGAAACCCAAACAGAGAACTTGGAGAAATTATCTAGAGATAATCTGCTAGATTGTTCTGATCCTTTTGAGAGATTTCCTACACCTGCAAAGTAGAAAATATTACAAGTCAATCTAGAGACAGCAAAACTAATTGCATTTAAAAATAAGTAACGACTAAGATTACAGCAGCCTTGTTAATTAAAGAAAACTTTTCCCAGGCAAAAACCACGGACATCCCCCTCCTCCCATACACACACAGAGCATCTGGAAGTCATATGCTTGCCCTACACCTTCGCAAAGACACATCTACTTGAGAGCTTGCTTTTTCATTCCAAAACCTAATCTAACGCGTCTAGTTGGGTTAGAAATATTCTGAACTCTTCAAAGGCTTTTTAATGTAGTTCTTAAATGCCCTAAAAGCCTGACAGAATATCACTAGGAATCTTATCACAAGCCATACTCTTTCTCTTCGTTTTACTTACACCTCGTGCTTAACACCAGGTTAGGCTAGACGTCCAAGTAGTCTCCTAACCACTTCATCCCTTCTGTTTTCTGCCCAGATGTCCTGCCCATTATTCCAATCCATCACAAATAAAAGCCAAATAATCCTTTTATTACTAACATTAGCCAAGAGTCAGTTCTTGACCTTAGCAGTTAGAAAAGCTTCGGTATTGTTTAATACAAAACATACCCTTAGAATCAGCTGGTGCTTTGCCGTTAGGGCTATTGCGATGGTCTACCTGCAAAAGAAAAGAGAGACTTCTGGATTTATTACTGAAGTACAGCACCAACACACCACCTGTTGCCTGTTTGGTTTTCTTGTTTTTTTGTTTTGTTTTGTTTTTTTCTTTTTTTAAAATACAGCTATATGGCCCTCCCAGAAAGCAATACAGCATAGTTTCAATATGCCAACACCAAAATCCTGGCTGTACATTACAATTGCTTCAGTGCACTCATACATTCCTGTGTTTTTACCTTACTACTCATTCCTGGCATTTCCTTTACTATAACATACTACAGCTCGCCGATACAGGGGGAAAAAAGAAAAAATGGAGGAGAATCCCAAACTGGAAGGAGTTACTTAACAGAATGATTTCCAACAGCCCGGTTGTAGTCTGCATATTACCCTCGATTTCATCAAACGAGGATTCCTGAAGTATTTTTCTTTTTGTCATTTTCATAATTCAGGACTTCCATATCTTATGGCTTATTGGGTCAACTCTTGGAAACTAAAGTTAAGGTAGAATACTTTATCATTTAGTGTAGGTAAGCAGCTCATTGCTTCTTAACACAGGCTGTCAAAGTCTTACACAACTGAAATTAACTCTAAACTTTGTAAATATACTATTTTCTTTGTCCAAACTGCTTAATAATATAAAATGGTTCCCAACATCCAGAACTTATGATGTTCACACACGCATAATCAGTTCCCAGGCTACAGATTCTGAGTGGTGTTTTTTTTTTTTTCCTATTAAAGCACAAAAGTAGAAAGAAATTCCCATCTACCAAAGTGAAGACGAGGAGTCTCACCTACCAGACACAGTATGCTTAAGAAGAAAAACTGGGAAATTTTCATCTACACAACGCACACAGATCTGGCTTTGGGTAGGCAGCAAAGCTTGCAGCTACTCAGTTTATCAGGTCAAGTGTTCTACCTACAAACATGGCTCTTGAAACCAGAGGAGGCACCTCTAGCACATGATCACATCTCATCCTACTCCATTAGAGAGTTAAGATCACCATACAGCTGTTCACTGCATTTTCTTTCCACATCCTCACTAAACCTGGAACAGTTTTACACAGCTTTGGTTCATGCACATGTAGAAGACAGGTGTTGTTTCCCCCCGCCATACTTACAGATCATTGCAGCCAGACTTAACACGTGCCTGGGCTCTCAAAGTTATTCAGAAAGAGTCTGACTGCCACCTGCCTTTGACGCACACTTAACTAACTCCTCAATAAGATCAATCTAACTCCACAACTGAAATACCCCACTCTGGTGTGGCATGCCACTAAGAAGATGCTTCATTCTTTTTCGACAGGAACAGAAAGATGAATAAACAACTACGTGAGAACACACAAGCCTCTTTCATCACACAATGCACAGCATCACACTGAGCTCTCTCAAGACGCATGTACTCATCGTTTCTTTATGAAGTAGTCTCCTACCTCTTTTGTCAGACGAAGCAAGGAATTTTTAAGAGCAGTTTCTTCTCTCACTTGGTCTTTAGTCAGTTTTAGGTAATCTCGCCACCGAATAGGTTTCAGATCCATTTTTGTGTATAGCCTTCCTCCAATAGTTTTAAACAACATATCCATCGTCCTTGGCAAAATACCAACATCATCTTCTGTCCCTGTAAGCAAAAGAAAGGCCCCAGTAATTATCATGAGCAACGTACAAAGTAAACAAAGACGAAGATAACTGATTTGAATCTCAAGGCACGCACAAAGAATTTAGAGGCCAGTCACAGTCTGAAGCAGCGTTTGCAGTGTTACTAGTGAAACACAACCCATTCCTTAGACATTACAGGGCATCACTTGAAAACAGCCACAACAGATGTTCTGCAACAGCTTAGCCATAAGAGAAGGGGGAAAAGAAAACGCAGCAAAATCCCACATTTAACAAATATGCAAGCTTTCAACTGTTTTCCAGGCTTCCTCCCCTCACTGAAATAATCTGAAGTAAATCCTGCTTTAAGAAACTAATTCGAGGGGAAAAAAAAAAATTCTACTCTTACCTTGGAATGTGTAGGTTTTCCCAGCATTTGTAATGCCATACGTAAAAACAAGGCGATTACATCCTTCTAGGAAGTCTAGCACTGGCTGCTTCACTGTACCTTCAAAGAATTCTTCTTGAGTTGCTTCAGGTCCAAACACCTGAACGTTACCAAGAAGCTGGTTAATCTCTTTAGATTGTTTAAGCAATCCTTACATACTTGTAGGAGTCAGATACACGCTTATAATCATACAGAGAATTCTTAAGAGAAGCTTGTTTGTTTTATATTAAGTAACAGAAGACAAGCAACATCTTCCACACATAACTTAGAGGCATTTAAAGAAAATTCATTTACTCGTGAAAAGGTGAATTTCTGTATCGCCTGTCCTGCAGTTTTGTCAGTCGGTCGACTCCAGGAGCTCTTAGGGGGTTTCAGTATAACGCTTGTTGAGTCCTCAAGTGAAACACACCCCTATTAAAGGGAAGCACAAGTAATGCAGGCATCAAAAGTGTTTTAAAAGATCATCATGAGGGGAAAAGAAAACAAGTATACATTAAGGGTGCTTTGTTTTCTTTTGTTTGGTAGTTTGCTTTTTTTGTTTGTTTGTTTTTAGTGTTAAGATTAAGTAAATGTCCTACCTGAGATCCATTTGCTCTTTCCAGTGCTGTGAAGGGCTTAATGCGCAGGCAAACTTGTATGTGTCCCCTAGGCTCCAAACTAGACCTCTAAAATGGAAAGAGCTGGAAGTTACAAATCTGACTAGATCCTCTCTTTGATGATTAGCACATTTACACAGCATTCTTGTCATCAGCCTGTTGTAACAGACTCATTTGATGACACGGGAAGCACGAATATTTCACTCTGTTTTCACAAGTGCTTTGGCCCCTGCTAAACTTCCTTGTGAGAGCCTAGAGTTTCAAAACAAATAATACTGCAGTACACTCATGTACTGCATTCAGGCCAACTATAAGCACAAGTCTTCCATCACTCTGCTTCTCTGAAGTGACGTCAGCTTCACCCACTGAGACTGGG